AATCTGGGTAAGAGTTGAAGAAACTACTAGGGAAAGCAAATGGTCTAAACGAGTCAGATGTAGAAGATGACGACGACGACGAGGATGTGAGTTTTTGTGATTGCTGATTGTATGCATGTTTAATTGGCAACCTAAGAGCATTTTCAACATTTATTTGCTGTGCTTGTTTTCTATTTGCTTTTATTTTTTGCTTCTATTTTCCCGGTCCAATATGAAAGTGCATTGAGTGATCAGGGGTGGAAATTATTATTTTTTTAATTCTGAGATGTCAATCAACTTATATGATGCCTGATTTGACATATTAGCTTGTAAAGCTTTCTTCGGTATTCTTGTTAATTTTTGTATCTTCTCTCACTTACAGTGCTCTTGTTTGGTCTTAATCAGATGGATGATGATATTTCTCCTGTACTGGCTCCAAAGCAGAAGGATGTTGTGCCGAAGGAGGAAGCCACTGATATTAGTCCTGCAAAACCAATGCCTTCAGGTTCTGCTAAGGGAACCCCTTCTACCTCCAAGTCTGCCAAGGGGAAAAGAAAATTGAATGGTGAAGATGCAAAATCTTCTAATGGTGCACCTGTGAAGAAGGTGAAGACAGAAAATGTAAGATGTTTCTTCAAATATACATCTAAAACAGTGTGCTATGCTATCGAATATCTGTAATAACCAATCTTCCTATCAACTTTAATGTTCTCTTAAAGCAGGAAGTAAAACCTGCCATGAAAGAAGAAAGCTCGCCTGCTACTAAAGGTACTGCAACTCCTAAAGTAACACCGCCATCATCAAAAACAGGGTCATCATCAGGTTCTACTGGACCTGTCACTGAAGAAGAGATCAGGGCTGTTTTGTTGCAAAATGGGCCAGTTACCACACAGGATCTGGTTGCTAGGTTTAAATCACGACTAAGGACTCCTGAGGTATGCTCTTCTTTAGCTTTGTGCAAGCTTGCTTCATATTGCCTGCCACTCAACACTGACCTGTTTGTTGTGCTGTTGCAAGATTTTCTATGGAAGCTATGTTTTCAGCTAGTACTGTGCATTTTTTATTTTTTATATTCCTAAAACCGGTTTAACTTTAGATCAAATTACAATTACCCATACTTTTTTATGCTTATGATTTGGTAACTATGCTGTCCAGTGCTTCATTGCTGATCACTCTTTAGGATTATCAGTCAGGTGATGCATGCTCTTAAGAATTTGTGTTGTCCATGATGGGATGAACACAATTTAAGGTTGAAAAACATGTGATTAGAAAACTGTTCTAGAATGTCTGAATCTCATGCCAGGGGATTTTTCCTATCATTAAGGGGTGTGGGTGGCTAAGTTTTTGCATAAAACATGGGGCTTCTACCAGTCCAACCAAGGTTGGGTTGGTGGCACAGGATAATAATATAGATAGGATGGACTGAAGATGTATCTCCTTGTTGCTTACTATATTCATTCATTCTGCTGAACGAGAATCTCTGCTTCCTCCTTCGGAAGAACAATAAAGTAGCATCACCTGAAAAGTTTTCGATGCATGCAGTTCCCTCTCTCCTCTCTGTTTTCTGACTGGTGGAAGTTCATTGGTGCAGGACAAGAAAGCTTTTGCAGATATTCTGAGGAGAATTTCTAAGATTCAAAAGACCAGTGGATCTAACTATGTTGTGCTGAGGGACAAATGATAGCTTTCTCTGTGTTCCCAGAATTTCACTTGCTCAGATTAGCCCATGAAACCGCTAACTATCCTGTAGTCTATAACTGTGCTTGCTAAAATAGAAAATAAAAGGAGAAGGAAAAGAATTCCTTTAGCTTCTGTAACTAATATCCTTGTAACTCTGTTGCAGCAAATTTAATGATGAAATTGTAAAATGTTTACTGTAATAAAATGTACTTGTAAAATGTAGTGTACACTGACTGTATTTTGTTTTGGCTGCTAGATGTATTCATTAACTCAGCAATATGCTAGAAACTTATGCATCTTGGTCTCAATTGATGTTCCTAATTTCAAGCAAAAGATTTTCCTTAGACTCGAATGGTAGCAATCCCGCATGGTGTGTCCAAACCCCACATGTGCTATGGCTTGTTTCCAAACCATTCCCTGATTTAATTTGTTTTTGAGATGATGCTTGATACTGATGGATGGTAGTTAGAGCCTCGAGCACTGTTTTTGTTTGTGTGCATATGAGCAAAGCACCCTTCAGGCCTTTAAAGGCAACCCCAGATCAAAACCTACACTAGGAACTGTAAAAATGGCTGCTCTAGTATAATCTAGCAGTGCTAATTAAAGATTATTCGTCCAATAATTTTCTGAAAAATTTCATCCGTTGAAATGACAGGCTTCCTTTGGTGGGTGTTACAAGTCAAATGATTCAAATTCTGGTAACATGAGCATCATTCTAATTTGCTAATACTTTTAGATAATAGTCGTTAGACTCCACTACCGAAGGCCCGAATCATTAATTTGCTAGTTTGTGGGTTAAACCCGATGTTTTTTGAGTTTTTTTTTTTTTAATGATAATATTTTTTGGACAAAACTGTTTTGATTTTTTAATTAATGAAATGATACTGATTGAACAAAAAAGTTTTAAAAGGACTTCATTTTAGATAAATTTAAAAATTCTTTTGAGTTGATCTAGTTGAGTTTTAGCCAAGTTTAGTTAAGTTAAAAGGTTAATATATCACATTATTCCAAAACAAACTTGATTTGAGTAAGGTTTAGAGTTATTGAGTTGACTTGCCATGCTAAGCTAGATTTGATAATTATGCATAGTCAGATCATGTTTAATGTCTTTTCAAGGTGTATCTAAATTAAAATCTTAATATTTTTCGATTCAAATAATTATTTTTAAAAGCACTTCCATCCTCTCATCCTCTCATGTGTAAGAGGGTTGTTGGAGGGTGCTTTCATTAGTACAGAACATTTAATCAAACGACCAGGGAAAAAAAATTGATATAATCCTTGGAAAAACCAAAGAATACATGTCTAAATTAACATAATTTTGCAATTTTCCAAGTTTTTGCTGCCATAAAAATCACTACCATAAAATCCAAAAACAAGAAGCATACAAAAGCTAGGATAATCCAATCTAAATGCCCATATAGGACAACCAAAATCCAGCCATCAATAAAGCAAAGCTTGCACCGAAATGGGATGGCGCTGAACTTTCTGGTGGGGCAGCAATAGCCTTATCAGAGCCTTCTGATGCGACTTGTGCGGTGGTGGTATCGGTTCTGGCTTCAGGAACCACCACCTCTACATGTAATTTCAGGCCATTCTTGCACTTGTCAGAACTGCTGCTTGTGAAGTAACGGGCCCCTTCTCCATCAAGAGTGATGCCATCACTGTCATCAGTGTACATTCTGATTGGATTGCTCACATCACACGTTAGGTATTCTTCCTTTGTCTCTACCTCAGCTATGCTACCCTGTGCTGCAGAGCGGGTGAACCCTGATCTCCCCACAGGTCAAATATATTATTACTATTCTCACTTGTCCTAATACATTCCCAAAATCACTCTACCAACTAAAAATTAAAAGCTGAATTACTTGAATTGATTAAAAAAAAAAAGAGGCTTCAAGTCCCGGATTTATAACCCTTTAAATCCAAATACTCTAAAAACTAAATTTCAATTACACGAAGCCACTCTCAAACATACCCTTGTTATTAATATTAAGATATTTGGATATTGAAAAGAAAAGGAAAAGGCTAAATGGAATAACCAATAATTCAACTCTGAAAAACCTTTCTGGAGAGGAAATAGTGAGAGAGAGAGATAGGGCTTACAAATTTTATCTCCAACTCTGAAAGTTCTAGCAGAGGACCAAGAACCAATATCAGTATAAGGGTGCCATCCACGATCCCCTCCGACTACATGGTGCACCTGGGCTCCATCATTAAGGCTCACTAAGACCAGAACCAGAATCAGAACCATCAATGTCTTCTTGGTCATTGCCATTTTCACAGCACAACAAACTTTCTTCTCCTAGAAGGAAAGGGGAAAAAATAAAGAGTCAGAAGACTGGTTGCTGAGAGTGAAAGAGAGCGTGTCCTTTCAATGATATTGCACTAAAGAAGAGGGTAGAGCCCACTTTTATTAAACTAGCCCGGCTCATGAGTTGACAGGAGTCACGGTTAACACCGGAACTAGCCAGGACCTGGTTTAAATCCGGTCATTAATCTGTGACTTGATCAAATTCTCGTCAGAGCTCATTGATTTTTTGTAAGAAAAATTAACAACATTGTCTTTATGGATAAACCAACCCGTGACTGCTCAGTCTGGGTCAGGTTTATAGATATGGTGGAGCCTAGAGGGTTAGGTTTACTTTCCTAGCAGCTTCCTTTCAATAGCTTACATAAGAGCACAGAATCGTACGTGGCTTGGCTCTAGTGTGCTAGAGCCTGTGAATGTGTGTCCACGAGCAAGAATACACCTTTGTTTCATACTTTTTTATATTTTTTATAAAATTAAATTAATAATTTTAAAAAAATAAATTTAAAACTTATCTATTAAATTTTGATCTATAAAATAATATTTATTCTTTAAAAAATCAATATATATACATATTGTGAAAAACAATTATAATCAGCTTTATATCAATTTGATATTATATTTGAATTAATTTATTTTGTGTTTGTATATATATTAATTTGATATCATCATAAATTAATCTAATATTATAGATATATTTAAAAGTATGGTTGTGGTTATTTTTTAAAATATTTTTATTTTAAAATATATTATAATAATATTTTTTATTTTTAAAAATTATTTTTAAAATCAGTACATTAAAATTATTTAAAATATAAAAAAAATTAAATTTATATATATACTGAAAATAAAAAATATAGGAGGGAATTAATTGCGAAGTCATGTAAATGGTACTGGTGTCCTGGATTGCTTTTCACTGAAGCAATACCATACGAAATGTGGAAGAAATTTATGATGATAACGACAAGAACTCTCTTATAACATGAAAATGATATGATACGATTTATGACGCTTTTTATACATTAATTATCACATTTTTTTAAATGACAAGAGAAATATCAAACTAATACTAGAAAACAAAATACTATACAACGTGAATTCCAATAATATAATTCAACATGATATTATCGCTGTTGAAATTTTTATTTAAAACACGGTTAATAGATATATTTAATATTAAATTAAAAATGAGGGTAATTTATTTTTTTAGATTAAAATTTTGTTAAAATTTAATCTTCAAATTATAAGTAAAAAAAAATAATCTCAAATAACTTTTAATTCTAAAAGCTCTATTCCATAAAAAAAAATTAATTTCTCGTGATTTATATACATTGAAAATATAAAAAGTTTAAATTAAATTCAAAACACACTATAGTTTTTAGAAAAAAAGAGAATTTAAACAAAATGAATTTTAGATTTAAACTCATATGCATGCATATATGCTCGAACATGAATTTAGGTTTTATTTTATAATATTGGTTTGATGTTTTTGTCTTTATTTTAAAAAAAAATATGAAAATTAATATTTAAATTTTGTTAGCCAAGCTCATAAATGATATAATGTGATCAGTTTACTTCTAGAAGAGTTTTCTTTAAATTTGAACAGTTTTCTCCACTCAAAAACATCTAATTTAAAATCAAAATGTTCGGTTTGATTCTAATTTTATGTGGATAATCAAAATTGATAATAAAAATAATTTATTCCGTAAATCACCATAATCTGCGCAAATTATGCAGAATCTTTGACACTTCTCTTCCTCATCTAAATTTAAGCATGACCGGCAGGCAAGGCAATACTATGGAGGATATTTACTTGTTGTAACCTGGGATGCAAGCAAGAGTGTAAATTCTCAGTGAATCTTTTCCAAGAGCTCCTCCAAAGTCTCAATCTTGTTTCCATGCAAGGAGGTTTCCAAGAAACATGGTTTTGCTGGTTTTCTGTGGAGAAAACAGAGTGGGAAATTCATTTAAGATAAGATAGACAATATCTTCTTTATAAAGAGTAATATGGATGCTTTTGTTTTTTACTTCACATGCCAACAGGAAGAAGCTTACCAAGTCCAAGACGAGGTTTTATTATTTCCATTATTTTCATATTTACAAGCAACACTGATTTTTTTTGGAATAATCCGAGACTACGTTTTAAATCTACTTTTTTAAACCGCAACCACGAAAAGCACCTCAATCCTGCACCAAACCTTACAATGGAACTTGTTTATCAAGCTCAAATCAAATGCTACTCGCGGAATTCTGTTTGAAGTTGAAACGATAGAAAATACTGTCAATTTTAATGGAGCAGTCCAATCTCCATGGCAGATTTATGATAAGGGGTTTGAACTTAGATTCATTGGATCATTGCATGAATTTCATCTTTTTTCTCCAAACATTTCTTTCTCAAAAAATTTATGGAGCTCCGCGTAACATTTTCTTCCATTCGAAGATAATGTTAAAGGGGAAATACAGATTACAATTTACACGATTTAAATGACATAGATAAAACAGGAAAGAAACATCACAATCATCCAAGAAAATCAAGAACAAGAAGCACTTGAAAATATACATTACAAAGAGCAATCTTGGTCACTCTCCAATGAGTTCTGTGGAGAGTAAAATATGATAATATCAGCCTGTTCAGGAAGTTTAAAGGTCACTCTCTTCTGTGACTTCCCACTTTGGGTTCTGCTAATTGAACTCACCACTGAAGAGGCACTGACATAGTCTTCTTTATCATCTACTTCATCAAGCCCCAATAGTGTGCCCGTGGAAAAACTCACTCTTGCCTTAGTGGAAATAGATGGGTGTACCCTATTGGAGGACCCATGTTTGAGAATACAAAGCTCTCCTCCTCTCAATTGTTCTGCCTTCAAGCTAGGAGAGGTTAAAAGCCAGTCCTGTAGAGTCAACTTGCTCACTGTTGTACCCTTCTTCTCTTCTTGGAGCACATGCCTTTTGTTCTGGATCTTCTTCACTTTCAAGCATTCTGGCTTCAATAATTCAACAAAGCGTGATTCACGACCACAGGAGCGGGCTACTTCTGGCTTCTGCTCGGAAGTTGAGAGCTTGCTTACTTTACATCCCATTGGATTCTGCTAAAAGAACCAGTAATGTAATACATAAACGTGGATGGATAACATGGGGAAGGGCTTAAATCATTGTGTCTGAGCAATGTATAGGGGAAACCGCGACGGAGAGGCTGAGAAAAAAGGTGTTTGTAAGAACTATGTTGCCTTAGGAATCCCCATTAGGTTAAGTATTAATTTGTACTGAATCTTTCAATATAATTAAGTTCGCATCAGTCATGACGATTGGCCAAAGCAATCCTCACATATTATTTGTTTTGTGCTAGCTACCATTATCTCAGTGTCACTGTCAGTTTCTTGGCTTTTAATCTTCATATTGATCAGTTTCACAAACAATGGTGATAAACTCAAAGCAATTCGTTACAAACAATATATTAAGCTAAGTGAAGTTCATTTTCCAATTTGTGGAATCAAGGAAGTTGGTTGTCTTTGCATGAGGGAATAACTTTTCACTTCTTCTTTGATTGTTGAGCTTGGTTTAGATTCATTTTGTCATTTACGACAACAGCAAATTGTGCAAAAATATGTTTGACTTACAATCTAGTAAATTTAACGGCAACATTTGTAATTGGCTGGAGCTAGAGTCTTAGGACAGGCTGGTTCCTGGAGGGATATGAAGCTGCAATATGTCCAATGTAGAGGAAAAATCAGACTAAGCAGGGCAGCCTGCAAGAAGCGGCAGAAAGCAAAACAAAGTGCACAGCAACATGGTCTTTTAGTTCACATCTCAGCCTTCAATAAGATGGCAGAAATTATCAGTTCCAGGGAAGACAAGTTTCTGTTCCGCAATTGTAGTAGAAAGACATGATACTATTGATCAGTGTTGTGTAAGAAACTGAACGTTAGCTTTGACTGTAAATCTCTTGTTGTTATCAGTCAGTCAAGGACTTAAGTTTATTCTTTGGACATGCCAATCTGTATCTTCAGGTTCTAGGCAGGCAAACCCTAGAAAAAGAAATTAATTTGTAGTCTGCTATTAGATTCAAGTCAAAGATTATAATTTATAAGCAAGTAGTGGATTCCCTTGTTACTTGAGCCAAAATACCTCGAGGGTTTATTATGAGATTTTAAGTTCAGTCATATTCAATTGCATGGCACATCACTTGTTATTTGTGTATCAGAATCGAAATTGGTATATTTTATGGCATGCTTGAACTCTAGGCTTGCAGCTTGCCTTGGCTTCTTTCACCGACCATATCACTGGATGATACATTTATAACAATTAACGAGAAATCGATTATTATAAGATCAATTTGTGGAAAATATCACACTTCAAAGTATCCACCCTTGTTATAATACCCAATAGGATAGGAGAGTCAACCCCGCCCTTGTTATAACACTCAATAGGATAGGAGAGTCAACCCTGCTAAGTTATGGATTAGACATGTTGACCTAATTACAAGTTAACTTATCAACCGAACTATCCTAAAACTTATCAGAAAAAAAGCTCCCCAAACGAAGTCGTTTCAAGTTTTCTATTTTTTTTAAAATGAAAACATAATTTTAATGAAAAAACCCAGTTCAAAGTCTAGACCGAACTAGATTTTATAACACTGCTGACAGCAGAGAACTCTTCCCATTTTGCTCGAATTTTCAAATGACCTAAAAGGAGAGACATTTCCTCCAGCACTTCGCAAAACTGCTTAGACATAGATTTGCATCACGTACAAAGGCCCATCTAGACTTCACGTGAGTCTAAAATTTAGTTGGAAGTGTATATTTTTGCCCTAAAATAAAAAAAAACAGTAGTGATTATGTAATAATTTCAACACAAGACATGATGGCTTCTTTGGGTAAATTCAGATCAACCATCATAAATATCTCATAGTACTGTAATTCTAATCATGCACATGATTTTGGAAGTCTCATTTGCATGAAGCATTCTGAGAATAGAACGATACTCCAAGAAATAAATTTATCTAGAGCAGTAATGTACTTGAAGGAGATACAAGAGAGGTCGAATCAGGAAGTCTCAGCAGCTGGTTGGGTAACCCCAATCTTCACCAACAGCTTGCTTAGAGCATTGGGTGGGCAAATTTGGTATTTGACATTCCCAGAAGGAGAAAGGAAGACCTCAGCCAGTTCAAGCTTCTCTGAAGTAAGACTTGTACTATCCATAGTTTTGCTGAGCACCTTCAAAGCAAGCTGGACAGCTTCTTCCCTTGTGATTTCATCCCTGTAATCCTGCTTTAACATGGATTGTGCAGCCTGGTTGTTTGCACCAATTGCTGCAGCTTTCCAGCCAGCATAATTTCCACTAGGATCGCTCATGTAAAGTTGGAAACCATAATTTTTGTCCCATCCTGCAAACAGAAACGAGACACCAAAGGGCCGAAGACCACCAAACTGTGTGTACCCTTGCTTGGTGTCACAAAGGGATTGAACTAACTGCTCTACAGGCATTGGCTCTTGGTATGCAAAGGTGTAGCGTTGTGCTTGGATCCTTGCAGTGTTGATTAGGATGTTGGCATCAGACATAATTCCAGCCACTGCAACAGCCACATGATCATCAATCTTGTACATCTTCTCAGTGGAAGTTGACGTTTGCAATAGCTTGGATGTAACCTTCTTTTCACCAACCAAGACAACCCCATCTTTGGATAATATTCCTATTGCAGACCCAGCATTTCCAATGGCTTCCATAGCATACTCAACTTGGTACAGACGTCCTTCAGGGGAAAAGATTGTTGTGCGGCTATCATATCTCCGAGACATTTTTATTTATACTGAAAGAAGATAATAAGCAAAAGCAACAAAAATAAGTTCTTAACCTTGCCCCCCTTTTCACTCGATTAACTATATAGGAAAGGCCAGAAAGCAGGGTTGGGGATTCCACGGTAAAAGAGTGAAAGACTCACACGAAGATCATTCAATTGCAAATAAATGAAAGCATGCAACACATTAGAGAAAGCAGAAATTGAGCACGTGTTGAAAAAAAAAATTAGAGCAGCTATTAGAGAACAGCATAGCCAGTATAATCAGCTTGGAAGTGAGAACTTGACACGATTAGAAAACATCTCAGAAACAACTAGAGCTTCCAGAACCACGAAATCAAACAGTGGAAATTTCCATAAACTGGAAAGGTAGAATGTAGGCTTTGCATGCTGTAAATTGACAATATTTTAAATTCTTCAATTCTTTAATTAATTAACCAAAAAATTTAGGAGATGCAATCATTGTGCCATTTTCCCAATTCAGCCCCTTTTCATGCTCATCCATTTTCAAATAAAACATGCCTCATGGAAACAGCATACATATTTTCTGTTCCAAAGAGCCAAATTCAAACATAGGAGAACATGTATCACATACATATGCAAGAAAACACATGCATGGAGTTTGTAATGGAGGTGCATACACTTAAGTTTCTTAAAGAAGAGGCCATTAGGAAACTACATTTGCAAACCCCAGAGCTCACAATAGAAGTTGCAAAGGCAGGCAACTGAAAGTTGCTTATATTAGAAACACACAAGGATGGAATATAAGAAAATAAAATCTTGCGACTTTAATTTAAGTAATGCCGTCCCTCTGATTAAGTGTAACCATGACCATTCAAATAAACCTAATAAAAAAACCTAAGAAAGACAATGAAAACTCTAACTAAGAAATTAGTATGCTTTACTAAATAGTTACTTAAGCACAGTTCTGTAACAATAACCCATATATCAAACTAGGTTTTCCTTGTTTACCATCCTTTAATTCATTATACCTGTCAAGAATATCACAAAGGACATATAGCAAATCATATTACAAAAACAATCGAATATCAGTCATTTCCAGCAAATATACAACTACAAAGTTCCATAGTTGCTCTATTTCATCTAGCAGTTCAATCACGGATCACTAACAAAGTTGCCAAACTAAAATCAAAATCTGTTTCGCCAAACACAACCCATTCTATGTCTTTTTAGTACACAGTCAACAATGTTGTTTTATCTTTCGTGCTTCCAACAAAACAATTTGATCCCTTTAAACTCTACAAACTACAATGGACACACACAAAACAACACTAACCCAGGTTCCAATTCCAGAGTTCAGCTTCTAAAAAACAAATCAAACCCAACTAGGTCCATTTCCACTCCGAAATTCAATGCACATTGTATAGTTAATTTGCCAAACTATATTAGAATCTGTTTCTAGGAAACACCCCATCATTCCATTCTCTGTCCTTCCAGTGAGCACACCATCAACAATTCTATCTGTTTTGGTCTCCCATAACAAAACAAATTGATCCCTGAAAACCCTGCAAAACTACAATTAACACCCAAAAAAAAAAAACTATCACAGATTCCTATTCAAAGTTCAACTTCTAAAAATCACCTAAGAAATCAGCATTACCAACTAAAACCCCTCAACCAAGAACAAAAACAGAAAAAAAAGCAGCACATTTACTGCTTTACCACCATAACAACATAAAAACAAAAACAGATCTACGTAAACAACTAGAAAACTAACTCATAACACTTAAAAACTAAAACTCATTTTCAAATTTCAATCAGAAACCATAATCACACACAAAAAAGAAGCAACAACAAAAACTAATACCAAAAGTCCAAATCTTCAAGACCTAGTTCAAGAAACCAACGAAAGAAGAGACATTTGGCATACAAATCAAGAGGGAATGCTAATTACCTGTAAAATCCAAGTGATCAGAAGGAATTTGCAGTGTAGTGTGATGCGGGAGATTCTGAAGGGCTGATAAAAGCTATGTCTTCCTTGGTGATCTTTTATGGGTTTCTTACTTTGCTCTACCTTCTTGCTCAAGAAGAGTGAAAACAGCTGATACTGGGTGGGTTGGGCTGTCAATGCTGTGAAATTGGGTTGGGCTTAATTTGTGGGCTTAGAAGTAATTTGTGGGTTTCACAAGTTTTATTTAGCCTATTTTTCCCCTATTTATTCATTTTTAGTTTTTTTTTTTTTAAGATTTACGAAAGAAAAATTAACTCGTTAACATGGCCCAATTAGAATCAATTCTTTATTTGAGTTTCTCAAACCATGTTATTAAAACTTGTGAATCGTTGATTAAATTGTTAGATCAATTGTATTATAATATAAATATTTTATTAAAATCAACTGTTAAATCTAATCGAATTTAGTAACTATGTTTTGAAATGATTTTTTTAATTTTTTTACCTTTTTTATTTGGAAAAATAAAAAGGAGGTCAGGAGCACTCTGACTTCTAGCAAACCATGTCTCTTATCTAATAAAATTATTATTATTATTTTTTCCCCTTGATTAAGAGTAATCAAGAGGTGAGGTCTTCAAACCAACTCTTCTCCATTCCTTATCGCATGTCCCAAACCCCTTGGTTAGGCTTAGAACTTGGAGTCCTTATTAAAATATAATAATTTAAGCTAATCTTTATCATATAGTGTTTCTAGAAATATAAAATAAATATATTCGGGATCTTGTGATCTTGGAGGTTGGATAAGAGTTTGTATTCTTTTCTAGCCTTTTCCCGTGAACCAAGCACGGCCCGTTTGTAGTAATTTTGTCGAGTAAAATATTATGGCCTTGGTACACAATGGAATAAACATTTCAAATCAAGCGTGGATCGAGAAACCTATACCATGAAAAAAAATGATTCAAGAGAAATCAAACATGTTTTTTAAAAGAGTTTACAAGGGGACAACGAATCTCTGTTTGACAGTCATATCCCTTTTTAAAAAAAAATTTTTAATAATTTTAATGTAATAGTATTAATAGTATTAAAAATAAAAAGTGTATTAATTGGATAAAAACATGCACTAGAGAGAGGGATAAGTGGACGGCGGGAGTCACAAGAGTGATGGACATCATCACATTTTGATGGAATTCAACATCAAGCAATCAAGAAAGTATGCCCACATTTGACAGGCAACAAGTTGAAGAAATTAACATAAGATATTCTCTGAAAAGGGAAGGAAAGGAACATAAGAAAATTCTCTAGAACTATAACAAAACACAAGATATCCTCTTGAATTAAAGGCTTCATTAATTCCGGCCACTTCATGATCCTACATGCAATTATTCTTTACACTTTCAAGCTCACACATGTTACACTCTGCATGTTTCAACACAACCTGCAACCATCAAGAACGCCAAAATATGATTTAGTTTCATGGATATTTTTTCTGATAAATGGAATATCTTGTCAAGACTATATATATATATATATAGCGAAATTCTGAAAATGGAAGCTAGCTAGTACCTGATTAATTAAGCAGGACACTTGAACCCTTCAGGTGGGGTCTTGCCACAGTCAACAAGGACCTCAAGAGCAATGGGTATAATGATACTGATGTTCAGAAGCTTAGCCTTAATGGTGGTGCAAAGACATATGGCAGCATCCAAGTCAAGAAGACCTTGAAGCACTGGACAGCATGCATCCTTGGCACTACTGCCTATACCAATGTGGACCAGTCCACCTAACACATCCACACATGCACCTAGCTTGAGAGTGTCAATGGAACAAGTCTCTTGCTTTGGTGGTGGAGGTGGAGGACATGGTGTTTCAGGTGGTGGAGGTGGAGGACATGGTGTTTCCGGTGATGGAGGATTCACAAATGGTTTTTCCGGTGATGGAGGATTCACAATTGGTGGTGTTGGTGGCTTTATTGGAGGAGTCACTGGAGGCTTTGGTGGTGGAAGAATTGGTGGTGTTGGTGGCTTTATTGGGGGAGTCACAGGAGGCTTTGGTGGTGGAAGAGTTGGTGGTGGAAGAGCTGGTGGTTTGGGCACATATGGTGGTTTTGGTATGAAGGGGGGGTGCACAATTGGTGGTTTGGGAACATATGGTGGTTTCGGGATGAAGGGCGGATGCACAATGGGTGGTTTCGGTATGAAGGGCGGATGTACAATGGGTGGTTTCGGTGTATAGGGCGGATGCACAATGGGTGGTTTCGGTTTATACGGGGGATGTACAATGGGTGGTTTCGGTTTGAACGGGGGATGTACAATGGGAGGTTTGGGAACAACAGGCGGCTTAGGTGGGTGGGGTTTGGGGGGTTTGGGGTGATGGGGTGGCTTTACTGTGGGAGGGTGCACTGGTGGTATCTTAGGAGGATACTTTGGTGGTGGCTTTACTTTAGGTGGAGGATGCACCGGTGATATCTTGGGAGGATACTTTGGTGGTGGCTTTACTTTAGGAGGAGGATGCACCGGTGGTATCTTAGGAGGATACTGTGGTGGTTTAGATGGCGGAGTTGGGTAAGGGCAATAGGGACAAGCAAGTGACGTGAGCAAAGTGCCCAAGTTCACAAGGAGGATCAAGAGGTTAGCCAGAGCAAACTTGGCCATTGTGGCTACTTGGCACTTCCCTCGCTGAGTTTCTCAGTGAATCTGTAGCTCAAGCCATGCATGCCAGCCTTCTTATAGACTTGAGTGGTCTGAATAATTCCTTCTTCAATCAACAGTCATGCTCCTATTTCCAGTCCAATATTTTATTGCAACTTTATCATCATGGATTGACTTGACAGAACAAATACCAGTTCATTTCCTACGCGGTGCACCTACAATACAATTTGTATTTAGACAAAGAAATATAAAAATAACATTTTAAAAATTATATTCAATATAAAAAATAACATCTTGAAAAACAGAATTTAGAAAAGCCTCCCAATTATTAGCTGCTTGGAGACGGGGACACTTATTACGTCCATCTCAACTTTCAATGCAGAGGGAATCAAGCAGCACTGCTCTACGATGGAGGATATTTTAACTTGTAGTGCCTGTTGAGCCCGTGACTGCCCAAGCCTACTAGAAACCGCGTGAGAAGAACCCCTTTTTATTTATTTATTTATTTATCTGGATGAGATGCATCAACGTTCTATTTCTCGTATACAGAATTAAGTTCTCTCTCTGTCGAGTTTTAAACAGTTAATTTAAATGAAAACATCTTATATATTAAATTTAAATAATCCGAGATGAATATTTAAAAAAAAACAAATAGTTTTCCTCGCCAGTGAGAAAACATTTTATATGAAAAACTACATAAGAAGAAGAGCAACACGCCGATAAATTTAGTTTTTTCTTGATAAAAATTAAATTGGGTTTTGATGAAATCTACTGAATCATGAGTTTAATTATTTTTAAGTTGAATAAGCTAAGCTAAATCAGTTATTGCTTGATTAAATATTATTGGTTTTTCATACTAGTTTATGTGCTATTTTTGTACACAAAATGGAGTTTACTCTCTCTATTGGACTTTAAATTGTAAATTTATATAAAAAAACAAATATTTATAAGAAATCTCCATCCTCAAACAATAAATTTAAATAATCCGAGCTGATTATTTAAAATAAAATAAATGGTTTTCCCGGCCAGTGAGAAAAAATTCATACGAAAAACTACACAAGAGGACAAGTAACAATGATATAATTTTTCCTTTTTTTACTCTATGATGGAGTTGGAAGTCTATGTTTGCCTAATGAAATCCAATGGTGTCGGCAGCCACATGCTTACAAATTCACGCAATTAAATAGTGAAAACAACTGGTTTGGTTTTTATGCTTTTCTTGCATTAGAATTCCCAAACAGGAAACGTGTCTTCATTCGCATAATTCTACAAGATATAAGAGTACGTTCTCCCCATTAATAATGTAATTGTTTTGGCGTTTTACTCAGTCTTTTTAATCTTTATTTTTTCCATGTGCGCCTCCTAGCCCTAGCTAGGCTCCCCTTAGGATAATGCTTTTTTATCCCCTTTTAGATCGGAAAAGAAACAGAAAAACTGGCTAACGAGAAAAACTACACCAACGCAGTCGGCATCTAACAAATTCTCGATGCAAGGAGGAGTCTCCCATGCATCTTTGCAGATGATCATTTTGAGAGGAGCCAAAGTACCGATCGAGCTATGAAATGTCACGGATTGTATTCAGGCAACTGCTTTCTTCAATACATTGTTGAGCTTCACAGCCTCAGAATATCATGTCGTTTTCAATCTTTGTATAAATGCATATTTGCAATGCAGCTGTGTGCACGGAGAATCACATAGAGGACCCGCAAGATAAAGAATATATATAAATATGTAAAATTATATATTTTTTTTCAAGCCACTAGATAAAATGATGTAGTAGTTGAGGATATACCCCACCATTATCCCCCACACTGCATGAAATTCGAAGCTGAGCTTGGACTCACAATCAAACTTCAATTCCAATCAAGTCGAGATTGGTTATTTGTAATTAAGATATTTAACTTTTTTTTTTTTTTTTTGAGGAGGGCAATAATGCAAGATCAATCAAGTTACTCGATTATTACATAATTGATCCAATCAAGTCACTAGTTCAATAATATTATAATTTTAAAAATGAAGGTCCTTGAAACTTTTTCGAGTTTTATCAGGTTTAGCTGATTTTGATTGAATCTAACGAATCCTTTGTATTATCTTAATTGTTAGACGATTGAGTCATGGGTTTCCAATTGGGATGGGATCGGTCTCATCTAAGTTTGATAGAACTATCCTTTATAGTCATAGCATGATAAACTCAGATTAATTATTATTGTTACAAAAACTAGACAGTCTTGTGAGTTAATCTAAAACTCGACCAACTTAGAAGCCGGACTAGTTCAGTTGAAAATAAATAAATTCGGCATTACAGTTTAAATCCTATTGATATTTTTTTATATAAAAAACATCAATTTTTTTATATATATAAAAAAATCTTTTGAAGGTCTTCCCACCCCAATAACAGGAGGCAGTCTTGAATTCTTGAATTCAGACTTCTAGGTTGGGTTTTGTTTCCAAGTTAATTTAACAATCTCGATGCTTGAAACAAAGGCCAAATACATGGCTAATGGCCCACAAAGATGGGAGGTTGGGGAATTCTTTACTGTCACCATGGCAAGACTACTGGGTATATATCAAAGGAAGGCAACTTGCAAGCCTATCTTTTAACTGTTGCACCACCTTCTCACCGATTATTCTTTTATCATTTTGATCTAAGTCGTTTTTTGCCATCATTATATATTCTTTAATCATCCAAAACCATATAAATTCAATCAGCATTTCATCTAAATGAACTTTTACTTCACCACAACTATTGACACTGATTAGTGATGGCATTTTAGTGCCCCTGTCATTGACAACATTTAATAGTTTTTACTGACGGAAATTCCTCTTGATTTTTACACTAACAATCTGTCTATAATTATTTTACTGATATATCATGAACAGAAAATATTTATTATATAAAAAAATATTTTTTTATAATTTTTTATCTATTGATAAACTTGTTATTAATAAATCTACCAATAGATTTTAAAAAAAATCATACAAGCTAAAAACAAATTATGAAATTATTGACAATGACTAGTGATGGTATTTTAGTGCCCCATTGAATTAAGTCCAATTAGGAAATTATGATCCAACCTATGTGACATCCACCATGAAGTGAATTATATTCCATGTCATATAATGCAGTTGGTTGAGGAGAGCTTAAAAATTCCTGATTGCCTTTTACTGCTTTCTACTTGGATTGCAAATTTGCACACATCTATGTAATTTGCATGTATATGGATTAATAATTTTTAAATACCATGCCATGCATCTATTTCTCCGTCACCTAGTTCCTGGCTCCGAAGCTTGAATTTGGGCATGTTGGTTGATCTTGATGTAAAAGAGAGGTACAAGCATACTAGATCGTGGCAGACCATTTTAGCCCATGGTAATGGAAAGGATAGATTTCCAGTTTGAAGAATGAAAATACTGCTATAGGCTTATAGGAGCTAGAAATGGTAAAAGACAAATGTGGGCAAACATTCGTTTGTGTGAAGAGGCAAAAATATATCACTAGCTATACATTTTCCCGCATGTTGTGGATCAAAATTGCTTTGATACTTTTTCCCCTTTTTTGAGAAGAAATCAAAATACAGTGAATTTACGAGTACAAAGCATAAGACAGAAAGTTATTATCGTCTTTAACTCTAAGTGCTTAAGAAAGTTAATCACGTTTAGATCCATTCATTCTTTTTTTTTTTTTTTGAACAGATTACCATAACAACTTCTGGGTTCGAATCAAATTCTATCGAGAGATTCATTAGAGATCAGAATTTATAATTATAACAAATAGAAGTAATTGAAATAAGCTAAAAGCTGATTAATATAAATCATTGTAATAAAAGAGAGGGGGACAGGGAGAGGGACAGGGAGAGGGAGGGAGGGAAACAGCACCAACGAATGAATTTTCTCTATTTAATCCATATGTTCCTTTTTCCTTTTCTTTATTATTTTTCCAACTGGATCCCAATACAAATTAATGTCACATATCAAGATTAACAATATCCAACCATTCTAAAATAGTAGATATATCTTGTCCTTGTTCTTCTTATATATGGTCCCTCAAAGAGACTTTGGAAGGCAAGAACCTAACAATAGAGCAAATACCCCACCATGATTTGCGAAAAGAAATCAAAATAGACTCCGCACAACAACTAGCTAGCAAGATTTTCTAATGTTATCGCTGATGCATGCAAGTGAATTTGGTTGTCATCAATTTTCTAAGATAATACCTTTGTCTTGTTGATCGAAGGTCATCCAAGAAACCATGAAAGTCAATGTCTTGATAATCCTGTATTCCTGTATGTACATGTGCTGATACTTGAGTTCTTGTTTAGTATGTAAAAAGTAGACAATGTTGGTCTAATTTTATAACTCAAATTGTCATCATGTGAATTTCTTCTTACTTAGCTAGAGGATTTAGCTGTCATACAGTGGAAAGTTATCACAATATTTCAACAAGGTTGTGCCGGATCTTACGAGAATTACTCTAGTTTGTCCATCAAAAACTATTATGTCCCAATTATTCATTTAGTGTCGGTGATTCTTCTAATATTAGGAAAATTTGACCTTATACTAATGAATTCACACGGGAAGTAATTTGTTAATCAATCAAATGATCATTGAATTAAGACTGAGTGAGTCTTAAAAAAGATTATATTAATGTCTTCCAAATCGATCTATAATCAATTGATTATATTCTATTTCATACTCTTAATTCTGCTCTAAGCAACCTCATAAAAGAATCTCTATTCTTTCCAATAAAATGAATTTGGTTCATTTTGGTAATGTGATAACTTTTATTTTTAAATACTTTTTAAAAATGTGTTTATCTTCAAAAAATATTAAATTGATTATTTTTTTAATATTTTTTATTTAATTTTAATATGTTAATGTTAAAAATTTAAAAGAATCCACAAAAAAATTATTTTAATATAATTTTAAATAAAAAATATTTTTAAAATCACCCCACATCATACTATCAAATATTTCAAATAGCTGATTAAAACAAAAGTTGCCTTTGACGATATGCCAGACTTGCTGTCTTCTATTGTGTCAATGCATATATATTTTGTACTTGGATCTCAGTCATGGCAAGCATTATGTTCAGCACCACAAGCGCAATCTTTCTGTGTCATGCCAGCAATTATGAAGAGCATGTACCCACTACATATTGACTTGGGATATTTTAGCTATACTACACTGCCTGAACAGGCAACGTGTGATTTGGGCACACACCAGTGGTTTGAGGCTCTTCATGTGGAAGTGGTGGGTCAAGGACCACGAGAGTAGTCAGTGAAAAATCTAGACTATGTAAAAGAGAGAACTAGAAAGTGTAGTTCTGGGTTTTAAAGTGGCCATTTTACAAGAATGACTTTGAAATTTTATAAGCCAGGGTTTGGCAAACTTTTAAAACTAGATGCGTCATATGAGGTGTTGTAGGTAGGTGTTGTTTCTTGGCGACAATCATTCTTTTAAATTATTTAATTGGCATGTGTGTAGAGAAATAAATCTTTATTAATAGAAAAAAATAAAAGTTATTATCTAATATTTTGATTATTAAAAATTATAATTAATCTTATTAATTTGGCATAAGAATTAATTATATAAAAAAATATATATTAGTATTCTTAATACACTTTACTTAAATTAAGATGCATTGTTTAATTATCTGATATAAGTTAAGATATTATTATATTTTTTAATTGTTTATCTGTCTTAAAAAATACTCCTCAATAAAAAGATATTTATCTTATTAGATAAAAACTTAATCATTTTAATGTCAAATAAAAAAAACTACCTTTTATTTAATATTGAGAATATATATATATATTGTAACATTTTAGAGAAAATCGGGTATCTTAATATTGTACATTGTACAGTATAAAAATACAAACTAATATTAACCAAAAAAAAAAGAAAAATCTATAAGAAAATCATAAATTTTCTTTAAAGGATTTTGATTTTTGATTTTTTGATTTTTTATTTAATATATAATATAATATTGTACATTATTATAAATATATAATATAACAAATAGGGATGGGCTTGACCCAGTTATGTGGGTTGAGCCTACCCTGATTGGGTTGATATTTGGCCCAAACAAAAGATTGGGTCGAGATCGGCCCAAAACAAGGATTGAGTCGATCTTAACCCAACAAGCTTTGTTTTAAGAGAAAATTGGGTTAGCACTAGTTCGATCCAGGAACAATGGAGTCTTCACTGTTCACATGCTATGTGAACAGTGAAAAATGAATTATAATTCACTCTATTGATCACTAGAAGAATAATGAAGATGGGAAACAGATAAAAGAAAAAGATGAGGAGGAAGAAAAGGAAAAAGCTAACCTGGCAATGGTGTTGAAATGTTCTCTTTTATTTTATTTTTTTGTTTTTCCTCTCTTTCCTTCTTTTTTTTTCCTCTCTTTTTCATCATCCATTCCCTCTTTCACCATGAGGTGAGGGAGTATTTATAAGGAAAAAAAGAAGAAGAAAAGAGTCACCTTACCCTAATCCAATTGAGCTAAAGAGGTAGGGTGGCTGAGTGGCTAATAGGTAGCTGCTGATAGGGCTTGTCCTCTTTTTTTTTTTTTAATGGTAGGCCATAGGTGTGGGTTGTGTCGGTATTTTTTGGATAAGTAAGAGACAAATGAAGAGAGACACTAGAAGGAGAAAAACAACTTTTTCCCCTTACCTGTAGTATATCCAGCAAAAAAAGACAATCTACAATATCATCAAAATGATGGCATTTTAAGCTTTTTTTTTTTTTAATTAACAGTGAATGAAACAACATCATTTTATAGAAAACATGTTGTTTCATTTAAAAGAAAAAGGTGTCAAAATCCAAATGTGTCTATTTCTAAATAAGTCCTTTATTTATAATTTTTTCAATCATGTCCTCAATTGAGATTTTGATTCAAGAATCAATTTTATTGCATGCCTGTCAAATCCAAATGTCAGCCCTGAATTTGGCTATCTTTTTTATTTTAGTTTTTTGTTTTGAATTTGTGCATTTTGACCCATAATTGATCAACAAACTCTCAATTTTTTCAATTTGGCTTTTGATTCGGTCAATTTCAGCCCCTATATTTATGTATCTTTTCCAATTTGGTCCTTGATTTTGGATTTCTATGATTAAGTTTCTAATTGTCTATCAAACTTGAATCTTATGTAATTAAACACATGATTTGACTAAATTAACTCTTAAAAATTATAATTCGACCCCCAAATATTAATTTCTTCCAATTAAAATCTAAATTGACTTAAAATTTAATTTTTCTTGCAATCAAACCCTTCATAAACTCAATTAATCTTTTAACAAAATCTAATTGAGTTCTTAAACATTTGATTTTGGACTTTTCTTTGTCAATAAAACTTTCATCAGTCAAAAGTATATTGTCAAATTTCAATTTTTATATTTTTTAACTTCCTCAACCAATCTTTGATTATTTTTTAAGCGCCTCTGTGTGCTCTTCTCACTGCTATATTTTTTTTCTTTTAATAATTTATTTTTATTTTTATTTTTTTATAGGAATCTAAAAATGGATAACAACATCAGCATAGTTGAAATGAGGCCTTTTCTTAAAACACCCTTCTAACATATGCCTTGTAGAGTTTGTAGAATTGAGCTCATCACATTTTGATCCAAGGCAATATTGCACCAGAAGGAAGTCGATACGTCTGGAATTTCCAGTCATGTTTACCGAATTTGAGAAGGTAGATGCATATGATCAGATGCTAATGTCTTAAAACATACATTTGGCTAGACAGATTGATGACTAATGTAATTGATCAAGATTTCACCACTTTAAGACACATCAATTTCAATCTGGACATAGTTGATCGTGCAGCATGGAAAAAAGAATGCACCTTATCAGGACTAGGCCAGTTTCAGAAATCTGGTCCATCCTTATCCAAGTATCATTGTCAAGAAAATAAATGTGAAATGGTCTGCTGCGTATCAGACCATTTGGAAGGACAACATTTATGTCATTCTCCTCTAAGAAAGACAGTCCAATTAGTTTCTGTTAAGAAAAGCTACCTTACAAATAGCACAGAAGCTCCCAAGAGGCCAAATGTTGGAGACGATAAGCTGATTATACAATCAGGAACAGCAATGCCTGTAATGGAGTAGTACAGCCAGAGGAATGTAATGGAAACATCACAATTTCAACATAAAAACATGGAACTTCAGGAAAAAAATCACCACAACCATGAAGTTTTTTCCATGACAGATTACACAATCAACAAGGTAAACCTAGATGGACTGTCTATTCAATGGATAAGGTATATATAAATGTCATACGAATGTTGCTTTGTTTGAATTCTCTCATATGAATAGATATACAGTATAGAAACTAAGTAAAAGAATAAACAAACAGCAGCAGAAAAATGCTTGGCATCTCCATAGCCAAGTAGTAATGTACCTTGACTATTTGACATGGTAATGTCTCAAAAACTTCTTGTTGCATAGGGTTTAGAGAATTGAAGATCTGGTTGGTGCCCAAGCTTCCTGATCAGAGTAGTGTGGAGGAGGTAGCTATCATGCAACCATTATGAGCAGTAGTGTGCTATATAAAATGCAGTTTGAGGCTTATTTCTAATTCCTAATATCGTAGATCAAAATCAACAGAGATGGTGAGGTTGATTTAATTACATTCTACTTTGTTCTGCAGTTAGTAACTGATCAACTCACCTGCCCTGCCTGGCGATGCTGAGATTCCAATATTCTGCAGAACAGTTGGGTAGGAACTGCACAGCCAACATCAAGGATGATCTTTCCTTTAGCAAGCTGAAAGGTTGGAGACCAAGGTTCCTAGTATATTCCATGCAGCCCTAATAATCATACATGAAGATAAAGAAGTTCTTGTCATTCAAATAATCAAGACAGTTTACGATAATATAATTGATGCATGCGGAAGCACAAAAACGATATTAGCAAGGATAGAAAGACAGAGTAATGGCTGAAATAGGGTTATCAAAGCAGAACTTCAAGTCGTAATTTTATTTCTGAACTGAAGTCTGATAAGTGCTGGAGAAAAATCAAGAAAAAATAACAAAATTGACTCCAACAATATCTTTAAAGTACAATTTGAGGGTCTTTGGAAATTTGGCTAGTTATAGCAAGCCACATCTATTGTAGAATTAAGTTTATAGAATCACCTAAAAAAATTTAAATTTACAATCAGATAAAAAATTACTTACGGTCTTTTATTGCTAGTATGTTAGAACCGGACATCACTTTCCGATGTACATAACCCAGCAAGAAACTATAGTTTAGCGGCAGAACAAGAAGTTTCGTAGGTACAACCTCAGCCTTAATGTCGCTTTGAAGCTCCTCTTTGTGCTCCTCAAATGTTACAGGAAAAGCAGCTAGAGTTCCATCTTCCACCACCAAAATTCCACTCTTCTTCATCATAACAGACACGTGAGATCCACCTAGATTCACGACAGACAAGTACAGCTCCAGTGAATTCATCCAGCGCATCAGCCAAGGCGTCCATCTTCGGCATATCCAAATGATAGGCCGGTTCATCCATTAACCGAATATGGGGCCTCTGAGATCGAAAACCAAACCTATGATATCTCCGATGACACAAAAGCTCATATTGTTAACCAAGTAGATTTTATCGATGGAGCTATAATTTTATGAATGATCGACAGGATATCATCATAGTTATCAACTTTGGAAAAAGACATGAAGTATTGGATTTTTGTTCAACTTGTGAGTTACGGGATCAACTAGGATCTATTACTTTAGTAAAAACAGTGTTTTTTTGTTTGTTTGTTTTTGTTAAGTATTGAAATTAACACGATTATATTTGGACCATGTTTTACCGAGTTATTAAATTACAAAAAACATGACTGAGCCAGTTAGATTTCACTTAAATCAATTTTTTTTTTTAAATTCAATTTAAAACCTAAAGTAAATTAAATTCTGAACCTTAAATTTTTTGAATTATCCTCAAAGATGAAACCAGGTTTAATAACTAAGCTTTCAATTCATCCAAAGAAAAGTAAAGTGCACTGTATTGCATAATCAACAAATCTAAACTGGGGACACCATCGTTCAAAAAAGAAAAGAAAAGCCAATAAATTGTCTGAATTGAATCGGAAACCAACAAATAGGAATTATATATTAAAAAAAGTACTGTATAAATTCTCAACATTATTAATTGATTTGACCTTTTACTAACTCTAAATTTATAATAATTGTATTACATGATGAAAAAATAAATAATCTGTAATGGAAAATGAACATATATCATTAAGTAATAGAAGAATGACTTCAACATTTGCTGTGCCAAATCACGAGTCAATGATGAGTGCCGGTGGTATACTTGTGTCCACAGCAAGGGCTAGGACCATCTTTAATTCCTCCAAGTGTCTTACTGTTGGTAAAACCGTTTCCTACGCCAGGAGTTGGGCCTGCTTGCTTGATTTCTCCAAGTGATAGAGCATCAAAGAAACTCTCAATAGCTCTGCTAGCAGCAGAGTTTCTTGACTTCATGGTGTTTAAGGGACGGGCTTCAGTTGTCTCCATGAAGAAAAGGGAGTTCACAATCAAAAGAACGACAAAGAAGCTGAGAGATTTGAGCATGGTTGTCATGTTAAGCAACGAGGGAGATGAACTGATGCTTTGTTGATGAAGGAAGAGTGTGAGATAATGGGGGATGGAGGGGGAATCCATGCATGTAATATTTATAGTGTTAATTAGCTTGTGGGATTAGCTAGGCTTCTTTGACTAGAAATTTGGGCACGCAAACCATTCAAACAAACATGAGACTACTGGAAGAGATCAATGCCTAGCTCGGAAGCTACGAGGGAGGTTCTTTATGCTTAGGCTTCAAGGAAAGATGCATAATATTGATCAGTTTGATAGTTCACATTGGAAGGTGTAGAACATAATTTTTTAACGTGGAATTTTGAAGCTGATTCCTAGATAAGAGTAGTCTTGCTCCGTATTAGGCGTTGCCCGGCGGCCCGGGTAATCTGAAAGAATTTTCTCTTAATAAAAGAGCTCGAATGGAGACCACAGACCATGAAATCTCTGAATTCCAAAGGATTTGGTGACTGTCAAGTGCGACGTATCCGTGACTGGTCAGCTGCCAATGGTTTCTTAGTCAAACGGAGCTATAGAATTGGGTTTGGTGCATTTATTCAAGTTCCAATTCCAATTCCCTTCAACAAAGTAGCTAGCAAAGTCCAAAACTAGGACTGACAGAGGGCAGTGGTATTATAAAGAAAGATTAGAATTTAAAGTCATGTTATCAGGCTCGGCAAGTTCGGGATGCAAGTTTGTTGAGGGCAACTCATGGGTAAGTGGATTAATCCGGATTTATTCTAAAAGGATTTTTTATTAAAAAGAATTCAAATTTTGTTTTGGATAAAAGTATTTTTTTAAAAAAGTTAAAACAATATTATTTTAGATAAAAAATTAAAAAATTGACTCGATTAAATAACTAAGTTTAGCTGAAACAATTAGATTACATATTAACTTGTCAAATCATTAAATTATTATGATAACTTCAAAATAGCTTTTAAAAAAACCAAACTCTAACTAAACTTTAGACCAATGAGCTACTTAGTCAAATCGTCAAGCTGCATGGGATTTAATATATTGTTATTCATTTTATATCTCATGAAAAATCAAGAAAAGAAAGAGAAAAAAATCCAAAATATAAGATGATATACAAGAAAGAAGTCTAGAAAATTATCCAAGTTGGTAGCGAAGGATCAAAGTGATAAGTACAAAAGCTAGAGGGCCACAATGTATAAAATTGAAAAAATTAGCGACTCAATTTTGATTGACAAAAGACTTCATTGATGAAAATATTTTTATTTGGGGTAAAAAATATAAATTTAGATAAGTAAGGACTCTTAGAATTTTAAAAGGTTTAAATAATTTTATTAATGATCTAATTACAAGAAGAAAAATGATTTTTAAAATAAATTTAGACTTTAATCGGAAGAAATTAAAGTCGGGGGATCAAGTTAAAATTTTAAAAAGTTAATTTGGTTAAATTAGAAACTTAATTGCATATATATTAAAATTTAATAGGCAATTAATTATTTAATTGAAGAAATCCACAATCAAAGACCAAACAAAAAAACAACATATAATTGATTAATCTTTATTATATCAAAAGCAGGATTTAGACATATTTCTTTTATTAATTAATGTTGATGACATCCTCTTTACTGGATATTCTTCTTCACTTATTTTATCTGTCTTTCATATTTAGTATTAAAAATCTCATAACTAATTATTTTTTTCTTAGCTTTTAAATTACTAGGGATGACACCACACTCAATATTGCTCAAACAAGGTATTTATTGTCTCTTTTGCATTAGCATGTCTTGGGTGGTGCTAAACCAATTGCCACTTCAATAACGTATGAAACAATAATAATAACCACAGATGATATTGTGTTATCTGATCCAATTTTTTATTATTAACTTGTTAGATCTCTGAAACATTTTAATTTTATAAGATTTGACATTTTTTATTATGTTCTTTATATTTTTTTAGTATATACATGTTTCTCAAGAGCCTTTTTTTTTCTGATTTTAGGAGGATATTTTAGTATTTGAAATGCACCCTCAATCTTGGTTTTTAATTAAAAAATATTAAAATAATATTTTTATTTTTATTTTTTTATATTAATGCATCAAAATCATTGAATTTTTTTTAAAGCATTAGCTTTATATTTTTTAAGTGAAAAAAAAAATATTACAAGAACATTTTGAAAAGTGAATTGAACCACGTTACAAAACGGAGCTCTAAAGGATGAAGGGAGCCCAAAAACATATATGGACTTCTAAAACTCAGTCCTTCAACAGATTTGTGGGCTTGGATCTGATTTGCTTCTTGAGCCCCCATGAACCATTTCAATTGGGCTGTGCCCAAACTATGGGCTCTCTTTTGGTAAATATCTAATTACTGACGGTCCTTGGAATTTCTCCATACTAAATGAGATGTAATTTTTATGACTTTAGTATTTTTCAGCTTTCATGTCTCTGTTTGTTCGAAAAGACAAAATGCGTGGATCTCAGATTTGTATTGGAACAGCACCATAAAGACTTGCATGTAAGGACTTCGACTCCAAATTGCAGCAACAAATCTATGAGAATGGGAAGTGATAAAGTGGTAGAAAAACTCCACAAATGAAATGGATTTTCCTAATTAGTTCTGGGGCTATATATGTTGATCCTACAAAATAAATCCCTAAAAAGAAATTTTCTGATGCTTAATTAATATTTGAGATTTTTCACATGTAACAGATACGTAAAGAATCAAGAAGATGAAAAAATAGTATTTTTATGTGCGGAGAAGAGTAGCTGAGTGTAGTGAAGAGGTGTTCTCTCTCTAGAGAGATAGGAGTAATCCCAAGAAACTGAGCTCCAGCATCAAGAAGAAGAAGAAGAAGAAGAAGATGGCTATCATCAGCACTGCTCCCTTCAATATTAGCCTTTGTAAGTTGAAGTTAAGGCAGCATAAGGTTAACGTCTCTGAGTTCTCTCCAACTCCAATCAAGGCTTCTTGTGTTCCCTTTGCTACCACGGTAAATCTGAGTCCTCTTTTGTCGGGGATCCAAATTATCTTATACTCTTCTACAATTCAAAATGAATCATTGCTAGAAAAAAATTAGACCCATTTAGGGAAATTTCTATGAAACCAAGGATTATTGAGAAAAAAGTGGATATTTAAAGAATTGAGTTAATTGTCATTAAATGAATGCTATATATGTTCAGGCTTGGAGGAGCAAAGCGTTGAAATCTGCCACTAAACGTTTCAAGAAAAAGAAGATGAAAGATCCTATAACTATTTGAGAGATTTATAGCAATTGAATTATTGAATTTATTTCACAGCTAATCTGAATTCCTTGTGCAGTTGTTCTATAAACTAGAATAATCAATTGTATTTGTAGCACTTATTCTTTTAAAGCTCAACTAAATGGTTGATTCTCTTGTCAACATGTAAACCAGCTGAGTTTCATTATGCTATGGTTGACTGTTCAAAAAACTATGCTATTTATTACAATTCTAGAGGGAAAAAGAGGAGCAGAAGTGATAATCATCATAGTTTATAGTTTATGCTAAATCAACTCCCGGGGCATTAGCTAAGATGGAATTTGTTATAAATCGAAATCCTCAGAAAATAAAAATACTAAAATTATAGGAAAAAGACCCAAGATACTTCTTTTTTATCTAAGTTTTATTTTCCAAATAATTATTATAATTTTTTATATATAAAAAAAAAACCTTATGTAAAGAAAAGCTAAAAAGCACTTGCATAGTTACATCAGGCTTGGCGTAAAAGGGGACAGGAACAGCAAAACTTAAATAAATCCTGGAATGTTACTGGAATTCTCAATTTCATCCTTTACTGACATAAAAAATATTATTTTAATATATCTTTAAATAAAAATAATTGTTAAAAACAACTTGTTACACGCTTCATTGAAAAAATCACCGATACCTATGACGTCGTACAAGAAGTGTTTAGTTATAATTAAAGGGATGCCCAAGACTCTAATGAACATTAAGCAAAACCATCACACGCACCAAAATTATATTCCACAAGCAATAAAAAAGATAGTAGTAAAATGGTAAAAT